GATGGCACCTCAATTTGCTCCTGTTCCACTGCGGTGGGATCCTCGTGCAAGTTCGATTTCATGACGTTGTTAATGCAGCGCGCGCGAATGTTGAAAGATTAACTTGAGTTATTTGAGCCGGTATAAACACTGAACGAGTGTACCAAGGTTAAGTAACTTGACCTTAGTAACTGTTTACCTTGGTAAAAGCTCAAATCTAAACACAGCATGAGTGGAAAAGCTCTATTCGTTCATCGAAAACTTGGGCGGACAGCTGGCCATCGGAACAGGGTCACGTAGTCGCATGGAGAGGTCATTTTGTAACCTATACATTAGCGGTTATTGACTTACCTGAATGTCGCAGATCCTACTGAAATTTCAAAGGAAGGTGGTAAAACACCATCCTCTTCCCACAAGCTTGACGTAACAAGATAAACGTGTTGAAAACAGGCGGGGACGAAAAAACTCACATTTGAGACTTGGTTTTCCGTTGAGGTAATAGATCCATTCACTTCACCACCGTACAGGTTTACAACAGACAAAAAATCTCCAAAGTTGTCTTCCGCTGTCTTTCCTTCGTTTTCTAGTCTTTTGAAAACGTTTCTAAGCATGAAAGAATCGAACATGCTAGAAACAAGCAGTAACGGGACACTCGAGGGATAATACCCGCGGGATATCATGCATGAAGCTGAAGGACAACAAGTGTGACCATGCGAAAAATCCGTACACGCAAGCAATGAAATATTCGCGAACGATAAAAATTCAGGGTTCACTTGGGCTCTTAAACTACCCTGAAAGTCGATGAACCATCCTGAATCAACGATTGTAAAGAGCTCAGCGTTTAAACCACGTGATTTTATAACATGATTCAAGACCCACTGTGCATGATTCAAAACTCCGATTCCACCGGCACTGCTTCCAGCAAGAATTATTTCTTTAGCTTCGCTCAAGTTATAGTGCTGCAGCAGGTCCAGGAAAACAGAACGAAAAATTGTCTGTCCTCTAAAACTGAAGTTATCTACTGACGAATCGTCGACAAAATGGAAAGGTTTTTTAGGGTTTGTTCTTAATCCAAGCCATAAGTCACTGCTACAGTACGGTACAAGGACATGCGTGTAATCAGAGAATGTTGGGTTTTCTTCTTTCGATGCAGACAACAGATCTTTACCAGTAACTTTATCAGGCAAGCCATTCGATGTCATAAACGCTGTTGAATTCTGATTACGATAACGTTCGTTGCAGTCTTCCAGTGACGAGCAGAAACCACCGCTTTCAAAGAACACGATCCATTTCTGTTTTGACTGAGGTCCAAAATAGAACGCGGCTTTGGTGTTGTCATTACAAATCGCTTCAGTATCACTGATGTATCTTTTCTGTAATTCACTCGATGTCTTCGTTCTGGAGATGAAATTGAGAAAGATGACTACTAGAAAGCGGTATTTAGTCCCTCGTGCCATCGGTCACGCTAATTTTGTACAGATGTTTTCTACCGAGACTACTGAGTTCAGATATCAGCAACCCACTCGTCACGCTTGCGTAATGGTCTGTGAAATATTTTTCAATTTTGTTTCAACAGGCCTTCGTCCAGTATATATTATTCAAAAAGGACATTGTTCTTATTTTTTACATGTATAGCTAATGCCCTCGCCCCATATAACTAAAAATATACAGGTATATTTTTAGTTACAATACCGACAGTGTGACCCTGAATCGCGCTTTGATCTGCTAAGGGGAGTAAGGAAGTGACGAATGCTTCCGGACCCCTCTAACGATTTTATGTCGAGTCACCTACAGTAATTGTCTAATTTCTTAATATTATATAGTATATTATATTATATATTATATAATTTTTTGTGAACAATATTCTATTCATCATCATTAGCATAAGCGATCTAGTTTGGGATGAAGCTAAAACACTGTCAGTTTTGAATATTGAAAGCGCATTGCACAGTTATCAAACACAAGTAATTTAAACCCGATTTAATACTTTTTGAGTGACGAGAGCCTGATTAGCAACCGTGCCAGTACGAAGAGCTTTTCCGCATTCTGACCGCGCGTAAATTGCCTGCTTCGTCGAGTTTCTGCTCTTGCTCCAATTTGCTCGCGACCAGAATGCGGAGAAGCTTGCTACGCAGGCTAGAGTGACGAAAGCCAATATCTCCTTAAACTGATTACGCCCAAAGAGAGAAACAATGACCCAAATTACGTCAATCAGTCAGTTAGGTTTCACAAGCTCTTTAATTAAATGTTAAACGTCAAAGTCGCAAAGGAAAAGGAAAAAGGAAAATGCAAGCACTTCACACGGAGTTCCTGGGGCTATGCTATGAAAATTGTGTTTCACCCTGGCGCGTCAGTTATGTTACTCAGCACGAAAAACAGCGTTAATCGTTCTTTGTTTTGTTACTAAGTACTCAAGAAGTCTGAGAAAACAATGACTTCCTTCAGCTAAGGTTTCCCTAACCTCTTAACCTGCTGTCATCACTTCCTAGCAACACAACACACGGTTACGAAACGTTATTTTTTCCAGTGATAAGAGCCCTCGCATTTAGAATCGCGCCTATGCCGTGACATCACGTATACGTACGAGGGAATAATCGAGTGAGTGAATGACATCACGTGGATTGAGTGACGTCTTCTTAATCATCTCAGTTGCTCCTAGAATTACCTTTCTGTTGTTCAACCGCGTGAGACGAAGTTTTGAAATTTTTGCGATCAAAAAAAAAAAAAATGGGCACGTTCTTAAGTACTGGGCCACACAGCCAAACTGACCTTGGAGGATAAAACATCCTTTTAGAATACTAACCCAAACACTTTTACGCGACTTCTAAAATCGAAATAGAAAGTTCTTGAGACAAACAATAGAAGCTACAGTTCAGCGAACTAGAAACCTGAATAGGATCATATCTTACGTGGGAGATCCAGACGAAGCATAGTACACGAACCCAAACACTCCATCGATAGGGTATTGTTCGGAGCTAAGTACTCTCGATAAACTAAGATAAACAACTTGAAGTTATAAGACTCACTTGTGGGCAGTCGGGCCCTAGAATCACAAGACTAACGTGCTAGCTACACAACGATAAACGGTTAATGATCTCAAGCCAAAATACTAAATTCTATACGAGTTATTGAGCTTTATAACAAAAGTTTACGTAGAACGTTGTGCCGTAAATGAGTTTTTTTTTTAACTTTGGGACTCGCAGTATCTCTTACGGTGCAGTCGAAGAAATAATAATGTAAAAGTGCTGCATTTCTTGTTTAAGTGGTATCTATATGAAGTTTTAATTCAAATTTTCTGACGAGCATCCCTGGACTAGTTATATAGGAGTCCCCCCGGGTCCCCCGATTTACACCGTACCCTCGGGTGGTGTACATCGAGCGTAATAGGATTACTAGATACCTGGCGACATAACTTTCTCAACGCCTCCTAATAGGTATCCCCGAGGGAAGTTACTCCCCGAAATGCTTGTTAGGGGTGTGTTGCCTGTTTTCTTCAACCCTCATCCTGTTTTTAAGACCAAAATATGTGATTTTTGATATTTTATTTCAGACTTGACTTAACCTGCCATCATACCCGCCATCCAATGTTCAACAGCGGGGAAATTAGTGGACGGTTGGCGACTGGTTAAAGAAATGTATCTTGCGTACTTTTTTTCCTTCCCTCTTTCAAGCAAAAAATAGCAACTTAGACTTGCTTAAATTAAATATAGTGGAACCCTGCCTCATGGTCATCTCGTTACTACGCCCACTTTTTTTGTCCCAGCGAAACGCCCATACATCTTCTTATAAGAAAACCCCGTAAATGAGGCCACCCATTAATACAGTCAACGGCCACATTCTAAAATCCCAACCTGTGGTATATGGTGATGTTACTCAATTTAGACCAAACATGAATTTGATCTTACCCTGTTAATGCGGCCACCCCTTTTAATACAGCCAAATTTTCATGGCCCGTTAGTGACCGCATAAACGGGGTTCCACTGTACCCCTATTTCATACCGCAAACATTATTACAAGTCTATAACAAATTACCTTAGTTCACGGGGAATTAAATTGTTTCTATTGTTTCTAGAACACTATGAATTCTGTTATGCATATGTTACTGGGGGAAAGAAAATGTTTTTGTCTAAATAACATCAGCAAATTACAGGTGGGAGGATGAAGCATAACTTACTTCAGACCAAAACACAGTGGCTGAAACACCACACGGTACAGTGCTCACATACCTCTATAGCTTATAAGGAAGTTCCACTTAAATAGTTATCAAGTGCTACTCTCTATGAACAAAGAAAGCTAATGGATTTCCGAACCCACAAAGCAGACAGAAGTGCCTAAATGTCCGCATGCTACGATGCTTTCAAATGAACCACAACATTAACGCTTGAAAGAACACGGCGATCCATTTGTTATTTCTAATTCGTCTTTTGTTTTCACTGTAGTGTACAGCTGTACGTGCACGTTTTAGTTTCCCGCATAATTATCTGTTATAAGGGAACTATAAAAGAAATTTTTATCACAGTTGGTACTAATTTCGCAATCTGATTGGAGTCCAGACAACGCTGGTCGCGTCAATGCGTCGCGCAATGCCTTTTTCAGCTCTGAAACATTTTCTTTGACGTTGATATTGTGGTAAAAAACAAATCGAAACGTGGTTTAGCGTGGTCTATAAAAGAATTAGTTCGTGCTTTTAGCTGTGCGTATATCGAGTTATGGATGCACTTGGGAAGTTTGGAGAGCACTCAAGAAGCTAGAGTTGCTTCTTTCGTGCTCTCCAAAGTTCCCGAGCGTGAACCAATTATTTAATCGACAACGATACACGTCATCATAGTGGTCAAAATTTGTTGTGCGCCTCGTGAGTCCACAACATTTTGACCACTGTGATGACGCGTATCGTTGTCGATAAGAGTACAGACTCCGCTAAACCACATTCGATTTGTTAAGTTGAGTGAAATAACCGGCTCGGGTAAAATCCAAACGTAATAACTTGCCTTTCAACACTCAAAGCAAGCTCCTTTGACACTGAATAGCTTATACAGCGGAACCTCGATTGAACGAACCTCTGTTTAACGAAGTCCTCGATATAACGAACGCTATTCCATGTCCCGGCCAAAGTTACAATAAAATGTATGGAATAGAACCTCGATATAACGAATTCTTCGATATAACGAACATAATCCTGAAGCCCAAACGCAAAATCTACCTCGATATAACGAATTACAATGTCAACATGCGACTGAAGATAAACGCTGGACAGATCAACAGTCAACAAATCTTTGTAATCCCTATGGTAAAGAGACAGCAACCTTTCAGTCAACGGCTTATTATACGTCATAGACATTGGCACTACAGCATTTCGACATCAATTAACTTCTGCTCTATCTTCTTTGAAAACCTGAAATGTTGGGTAGTGCAACATAACAACACTAAAGCCCGTTTCCTTGTTTACATAGACAATTTTCTGTATAACCTCTATGTTGCAACATTTTGAAATCGCTACTCTGAAAGTGTCGTTCTTTTGTAAACAAAAGCTGCGCGTCTCCTCAAAAGTGAAAATAATTGATACTGAAAGCCACCATGCTTAATGAAATGCATCTCAAAACGCGGCACTTCTGGGTGACGAAAATTGCATTGAATTGCGTGACAGAAGTCACCCGTGTTACAAATCAATCATTAACTATGACCTCCTTATAACGAACATTTTGGTCACTTCCCCTCAAATTCGTTATATCGAGGTTTTCGATATAACGAACCCTCGATTTTACGAACAAATTTGGCCGGTCCCCAGCGACTTCGTTAAATCGAGGTTCCACTGAAGCAAAGATCAAAGAATGCCAGTTATTCATCGGACAAACGTTTTGGTTTCCCCCTGTGATAGACAATGATTTGCACAATTTGTTGCTGTTAAAGGAACTAGGTCACAGTGTGCGCATCTTGAAAAGCTGCTCAAGTTCGTCGTTTGCAATCCACATCAATCTTCTCCATCCTTAACCATCCTTTCTCCTTTAAGGTTAATTATTATTTCTTTGGTGTTTTGCCATCTTACCAATCTAGTATTTTTAGGTTTACTTAAAATTTCAAGGTTATTTGATTGAGTTATTTAAATAGGCGATCTGGCTGCTGCGCTGCGGGATAACGGACTGTTGCGCAAAACCCAGTACTTTACGATGAACAGACGAAGGTTTATTGTCAGTCACGAAACCAATATGAACCAACTTGTTTGTTAACTATCTACGGATGACAGATCAGCCAAAACACTTAATGAGTTTAAAAGGCGCATTCGTGGCAAAGATCTAAGTTCACAGAAGCCGACTGTAAGGGTTGTATCCTCTGCTCAACGTGACACTCTTAAATCTTAAAATTAATCGATTAAAATTAAAAAATTAATAGATTTTTTTACATTAGATCAGCTATCGACACATCACCTATAATGTTTAGCTTTATCTTTAAAACATTTTAGACTGCACTTTGTATTATCCATATTTTAGTGTAGATGTAGGTATCTTAGTCCTCTCAGTTTTGTATTTTGTCTTAGTCTGTGTCCCCTTATTAGTTTGGGTTTAACGGAGGTTATCGTGTGAGTTATGCTAATACAACTAGATGTCCAGAACATAAACACGTGCCTGCTGGCCCGTTAGGAAAAAGCTTCATTTATGGGGAAACCTGAACCCTCCCGAATGCACTGAGAGTTAGACATTAAAACCTCGAGAGAGATATATCACCAATAAAAAAAAGAACTTTATTACTATCATTATTTTTACGAAGCAAACTTAAATAGCTCGGTATGCCTTTTACATTACAATATTTGACCAGTGACACCTGTCCATACCATGAAATATACGCAACAACATTCATGCATAAAGTGCATTTTTATGCACGATGTAATCAGTCACCAGTGCAGCGATAACCAGTTAAATTCAATTGTGCTAATCATGCCATGAATCTGAATACTTTTCCATGACACTGTAGCAAAGTTACCAGTTCATACTATACAAACATTTCTTTCAAAAATACAGTAAAACTCCGCTTGTAAGAACCTAGTGGTTTAAGAACCTGCTGGCAGACATTTGCGACTCTAAAACCCCAAAATATAAGAACCTGTTTAGCCAAGCAAGATCACGCAGGTTCTAATATGCCAGTCACAGTTTTAAATTATGGTAAATATTTTAACCTAAGATTGTGACTCCGAGATTGCAAATTTAGATTACCAGAAAATACATAATACAGATGTGAATAAATGCTGTGTATTCAAGAACCACACCCATGCTTACTTATTTTTCTGGTAATCAACAAGTATATCTCCTTCATAGAAATTAAGAACCTGATCGAGAACCTACTTAGCCTAAATTGCCGATAACTACCCCAAAATACAAAAACCTATTTTTTCTTACAATCGGGTTTTTACTGAACTGAACAAGAATGACTTTGTGCTCCAGTTACACATCCAGAACATCTGTGACATCCATTAGGGAGACTCTCTTTACTCGCTTTCCTTTATCTTTCACTTCAACTTGTTGGGAATCATTGCCTTCACTTGCCGCTTGCTGTTGGTCCTTGGATTCACTATGTTCCTCCTGCTTTCTCTCTAATATTATCCCCTTAACAGATGCGACACCAGAGCCACTCGTACTTGTTCTTTCGTCATCTTTAAGCTGTTGCGCCTTCTCAGATTCAGAGGCTTCTCCTCGATGGGCATATTTCCCATCAACAGAGTCTTCAACTTCACCTGTTGTAAACTCACTTCCTTCCTCATTTCCTTCATCTTCTGTCAACTCTTCTACTTCTTGTCGGGAAAGCTCCTTCCTACACTCTTCCTGCATGCAACCATTACGCTTCAAAACTAATTCCTGCTTCATAGCTTCGTGTGCCGCCGAAGAAGCCATGGTGCTTCTGCGAGGAATGGCCGCCTTCCCCTTGGCTCTCCTTCGCATGGATTGCGAATGCTTTATCGTGTAACGTCTGGCGATGTTTTGAACCTGAGACATTCGCTTGTCAAAGTAAATCTTTCTTTCCTCCACATGTTGTCGCGTGCATTTCCACAGTTCCTTCCCTGAAACGCTGGCCATCCGTTTGCGGGGGATAGCCTGCAGATTACGTCTGTTCGCGCCATCTATGACTTGCTCCGTGTTAAAAAGGTCTTCCGATGTGCTGGTACGCCGCCTTTGAGAAGGAAGCTTAACAGAATGAAATCCTTGGTTCCCACTTATCAGCCCAAGCCTGGATTTTGCAGAACTTCGGTTACGACTGAATGGCTTGACGGGAATGAATTCTGGCGTCTCCATCTCTATTTCCTCCTCCTCGTCATCTTTGGTGGGGATTTCATCAGGTGGTTTAACAGAAACTTCCTCAACTCTCTCCATTTTAGGCTCAGCGGACAATGCTGGCGGACTGAAATTCAAATAAACAATTTCAAGCTTCGATTTTTTCATCCCGTAAGAGTGAATGCAATATCAGCATGATTGAGAAGATTTCAAAAACATATTTAGGCCACGAGATTTATTGTGATAAATAATCTGATTTGATGTCATGCGATGTCTGATCTCAAAACGCATAGATTTCTTTCCCTAGCTTCTGTTTCGATTGAGAAGATATATCAAGCACGTGAGACACTGCTTGACCACATTTCTATACTCCTCGAAGTAGGAGAATTTTCCACTGCGTGTCTTATTTTAAACTGTCTTCTCCATCAGTGTTTGGAAACGTGTTTTCTCAAACTCGTTAACAATTCATTTAGATAATTATGACTGTCCCGGTGTTTGGATATCTGATCTAAATCAGTATAGACTTCTACGATTTTATTTCTCCCTTTTCTCCATAGTTTAAGTTTCGATTGAGAAGATATATCAAACACTCAAGACAGTGTTTCACCACATTTCCAAACACCTCGAAGTTCGTCAGCTCTCTTCTCGGTGTTTGAAAATGCGGTGAAACACGGTCTTTCGTGTTTGATTTATTACGTAACACACTCGCTCGTGTTTGACGCCTTACCCGTTTCTCAAGTGGTTTATGTCCCTGACTCTATACACTACTTTTGCATCAAGTAAAGTACTGGGTACGATATTCTAAAGCTGGGAAGTTACTGGATTTCTGACATACTTAAACATAACTTTAACGTGAAGAACCTTAACTGAGTAAAACCTGAAAGCAACTTACGCTTTAGTGAAGCAACTCAAGTTGAAGTACTTTGCTTCTAGAAACAACCAAGAGAGTAACAAAGATAACACTGTCATCCCCAACATAATCTGAAATAAAGGAATGAAACAACAACATTAAGAAAAAAAACGAACCTTTGTTACTTTCAATAAGTGATTTAGCACAAGTGCTGTTGGGGCTGAGCATTTACAGTAGAAACAAATTCTTCAAAGTAAAGATAACCTCTGACATCTCTCAAACGGTGGAAAAATTTTTCGGTGGAAAAATTTAGCGCGCGAAGAAAAATGTCTTCTCGCTCAGACTAATTTTGTAAGATTTCCCATTATTGTGGCTTTCTGTCGTCTCCATCATGTCATCTGGTCACCATGGAATACTTACCACCAAGTGTTCATAAGGGTTAACTGTTTCCAGTCCAAATCTGGCCAGCACAGCGTTGCCATCTGTACTGATACAGTTCAATGTCGACTCGTATTCGCAGTTCAGACGAACGTTCAGTAACAAGATCTTTGTGATAGCTGCGTAGCCATAGAACTGTGGATTGATGTAGAATAATAAATTGTACCTGAAAGCAGGAAGAAAACCTGATTTTAATAGACTCAGCAGAGCACAGTCCAGAGCCTTTATGATACATTTTCTTACACTTTTTAATGTCAACTAATTTCAGTTCTAGGCTGTAATACGTTTCTTTCAAAATACTATTAAGCCCTGGCCAAACGGAGTCGCAAGTAGACGCAAGTTCTCAACTTGCCTCTACTTGCGACTCCGTTTGGCCAGGGCTTGCGTTCACATGCGTTGACTTGCGATGACTTGCGCTCACTTTGGTCGAGATCAAATTTGCACGCAAGTCGACGCAAGTTTTTCACCGTTTGGCCACCGAACCCAAGTCAACGCAAGTTGAGTGATGTCCATTAACCTATTATTAGCCAATGAAATACAGGATATGTCTTCCTTGAAATGGGCTTTTTGCGACATGCGTGTACTTGCGAGGAAACTTGTGAGTCCGTTTGGCCACCCAACGCAAGTCCCTACGCAAGTTCAACTTGTGGCTACTTGCGACTACTTGCGAGTCTGTTTGACCAGGGCTTTAAAGTGCTGAGAAGAATTCGAGCCATCTAGAGCACCCACACCCCACCCGGATTCCGTATTTCGCATTGCAAAGATATTTTTGGTATGTGTGTCCTGCTATTTAGGATGTATAGAATCTAACTTTTAGATTTCTTTTGGCTCATATTATCAAAGAAATTACTACTTATTTTATTACAAGTTAGGAACTAAACACTCCAAAAACTGAAGACTTACACCACTGGCATTTGAGGCCTAGGCACTAGAAAACCTCCCGCAAAGCCGCCAATGGCGGACACCATTGGACAAATACGATGAGCGATCCCCGGATGTGCACAAATCACCATCATATAGACTGATATCCAGGTTTGGTTTAAAACCAATGAAATGATTGTCACCAGCAAGAATTTCCACAAGTCGTATGACGTCATCACCTGAAAAAGAAGTTGATAGTTGAAATAGTTAGAAATATGCCTCCAAATATGTACTCTTGTTACAATATAGAACATAAAACCAGCACTTTCAAATGCTTCCATCCAATTTCTGTTCCATTTATTTTGTTCTAGCTCGAAGACGGCTAAAAAAAGGATATTCTCAAAATATGTCCATTTTGTAGATAATCTTGTCACATTTGACTTATTTACAAGTCTTTTCTTAACTTTTTACAACATCTTGAGGACATAACCCAGGAATAGATATCACAAACGTCATTTGTCGCTGGTTATCTGACTTAAGCCAAGAGAAAATTTATAAACAGGATGAAACTCGAACATGTGGTGGGAAAAAAAAGTAGTGGTTAAAATCAGACAATTTTAGAACGCACATCTACCCTTGTAAATGACCAATGACTGCTGACGAACTTTACACGAGTCTTTCAACCAATACCATCATGGCCAAACTGACCAATTACTTTCAATGGACCAGACTTATAACATCATCGACTGACTAACACTATTCACGTGACTTTGAAGATGACTTCCGCTCACCAACAACGGTTCTTTTCAGAACTACCCTCACCCGGACGATCACACTACACCAACTATCACATTCATCTTTCTTATTAGCTAGGGAAAATATAACCCCCGTAGCTTAAAGTGCCTATGAAGTAAAAAATAATTGCTGCTGATTTGAAAGGCTTTTCAAAGTAAAGAAGAATGGCGTTTTCCGTTTTGGAATATCTTTTTTTGTTTTAGAGATATTCACGCTTTTGTATTATAAGTGATGACGTCATAGGTGGTTCTACTAAAGCAGTTCAACACTCAATCAAAAATATCTCTAGAAATATTAAAGCAGTGTTCTTTAAACTTGGCACCAGAAATGTACATCACAAAAGAAACAAAATGACACCTGTCGTGCTGTCGCCATGACAACAGTTATGCCGCTGGTCCTGTTTTAATTAAAACGAACATTATCAGATTTTTCCTTAAACAAGGATCATCCACTCCCAACAATCTAATGGGGAGAGTTAAGACAATATGGGAATCGTGTGNCTCCAATATTTCTAGAGATATTCTTGATTCAGTGTTTTACTGTTCAAGTGGAACCACCTATGACATCATCACTTTCCTCATTTGCATAATACAAAACGTAAATATCTCTAGAACGAAAAAAGATATTCTAAAAAGGGAAACGCCATTCTTCTTTACTTTGATAAGCCTTTCAAAGAAGCAGCAACTATTTTTTACTTCATAGGCACTTTAAGCGAACTTACCATGAAATATGACATGGCTGAACACAATATCACTGGTAACACGCAAACTGCAGTCGTTCGAACAAATGTTTGGATGACATTCTCGTAAGATCTACCACAGCCATCTTGGCGCTCCAGGTGAAATATCTGATAACAAAAGACGCTACAGTCGGTTGAACAAAACAATGAAAGTCTATCCGACAAGGAAGAACATCAGATACTTACCTCTGTGGCTGTTAGCGTTGTTGTGGTGTGTTTGTCGTGTAAGAAAGTATTTTTGCTCAAGCAAACAGACAATGAGTAAAAAGTGATTCAAAAGAAAGGTATGAGTGTAAGTTAAAGTCTGCATACGAGCCAAGTGGCCCATCAGGCCGGAACTTATCAGAAGTATTTCTACTACTCCCTGTATGGGATGCTAGTTCATCAAAGGGTTACCTCCAGCATTAAATTCGCCGATACCCATTTATACACTTGGGTGGAGAGAGGCACTGTGAGAGTAAAGTGTCTTGCCCAAGAACACAACACAATGTCCACGGCCAGGACTCGAACCCGAACCGCTCGATCTGGAGTCCAGCGCACTAACCATGAGGCCACCGCGCCGTGACTGTCAGTAAGGGAACTCCTATTTTCAAGTGCAATAGTTATTAAACTGCAATTGTGTCCCCAGGCGCCCGTTCCGTTTCGTCGGGCGAAGAGCGGGAAAAAAAGGGGCACAGTACTTCATTGTTATAGGCTCATAATACCATGGGCACCGCGCTCAAACCAAAGAGGGACGCCTGGGGACGAGTCAGTACTTACACCCAAAGCTTTATTGAGGTGCGCCATCAAAACGGAGCTGAGAAACAAAGGACTTGCACAGCAGTAAACACAATATGCTGACATCAACAGAACGCCGTCTCTATCCTCCGCTTGCCAATAGACAGTCCCTGCAAATACGGGCATAAACAATACCTTTTAGCTCATATTTCAAAAAATTACTATTGCAAGGTTTTAAACCCATTTATCTAACCGAGATAAACATGAATAATCCAAGCTATCGTAACCTAAGCCCTGACCCCTATCCTTTGTTTTGGCTTGACACTAAGGTGACCTAGTCGCTTAACATGGCTTGGTCACAGCGTGACCTAGTTCCCTAAACATGGCGCAATATTAGCGTGACCTAGTCGTTTTAAAATGGCGTGACACTAACATGACCTCGCCTCCTTAACACTGGGTGACAATGACGCACTTCCTCTTTAATTTACGTACCAACAATAATTCCAAAGGCGAAAAAAATCAGCGGGAAATACAAGATTTGTCCAAGTGTTTGCTTCTCAGAAGCTCTGCTCTCCAGCACAAAAATTCTGTTGAGCGACCCAGCTCCATCCACGCTGTCATCAACAAAAACCAGCAGCAAGTTAATCAGTATAAAATTCTACAGAAAACATAAATTAAAATCCTTGTTGTGGAAATCGACACGAAAGGGATGCTATCTTTTCGACTAAGACCCAGTCCACAATACGCCGGAGGAATTTGACAACGCAGCTAATCCGCCACGAAAATTTCTCCGGCCTTGTGTGGACGGAAAACATTTGATGCGTTTTCAGAGTGAAACCTCCATTTTCAAATTCCTCTGGCAGAGTGTGGACAGGGCCTAAAAGCCTGGAAATATCGGGTGGAAAAATTGCGTGACAGTGAAACGTCGGGTCAGACATTTCCGGAAAGTTTGTAACATCACGATAACCAAATAGACCGTTACAAAGGGGTACTACCTGAACGTCTTTTATAACTAGCCAAACGTAACAATGGATAAAGAATACAAACAACGCCCCTAGTCCGGTGCAGATTAACCGAGAAGGACGAAGTAGAAGTTTTAAAATGAAGCAGATCAAAGAGTTACACTTACATCCTACTCATTGTTTCCATGGTAACCGTTTTACTGGCATGTTCCTGTGACGTCGTGATGGCTTCTTGGACTGCCTGTGGTTCACCACTTGTTTGATAATAATCCAGAATAGCGCGGCGAGCTTGACTGCAGTTCAGTAAATCCATGATGGTGTCTACATTTTCAAATTTAGGAAAGAGAATATTCAGAAAGATCTCCGTTGCTTCTGTAATTCGCTGCTAAGGAAACGAGACAAAAATCTGAGGCGAGTCTCATCTCGCACTGGCTAGTGGGACCATTACTGGGGGCAAAACAAAAGATGAGAGGCACTGGCAGTCCCACAAAGTACTGCGAGACGAGACTCGTCCTAGATTTCTTCGCGTTGCTAAAAAGGCTAATACTTGGGGGGAAAATATAAGTGCATCTCTTTCGAGCGTAAGCGTATCTTCAAGATTTATACGAGCGCGTGCTATTAATGGTTGACAATAACACACTTAGCTTGTTTCTTCAACATGTAACGTTGTTCTAACCTTAATCCTAAGGGTAATTTTAGTACCTGCGGGATTTTTGGCGTCGATTTTCGGTGCTTCCTCACTCAGCTGATATTCTTCAGAAGTTGCACTAGCGTAAGCTTTGATGAATATTTCCGGTGCCATGGAAGGCTCCCCATAGTATGCAACCTGCAAATAAACAAAAGAAGAATTAACAAACAAGGGAATAAATTAGTAAACGAAGGAATAAATTAGCCAACAAAGCAATAAATTAGCAAACAAAGCAATAAATTAGCAAACAAAGCAATAAATTAGCAAACAAAGCAATAAATTAGCAAACAAATGAACAAATTGATGATACACTGCTCTCGTCCCATTATACGCAAAAACTGGGCGAGAAAAAAAACGCAAAGACAAAAAACTAAGCGAGGTGTATAACAACAGAGGAAGGACGAGATGTTGAGTCAAACAATATATTCTGCTATAATATTTTGATTTGAGTTAACGAACTCGTAACCTCGCAAGCGACACTGAAATGTTTCAATGACAATGGGCCTTTGACAGTTCCCGAAGATATCCCGAAGTTTACCGAATATATCACGACAACCAAAGGTAACTGGGCACTGAGAGCCTCAGGGAGGGTTTTCTTATTAAAGTAATCGTCTAGAATACCTGTCCATCGCACAAGAAAAGAATCTTGTGAAAAAGATGAAAGATTTCCAGTCTTGGCTGATGAATAGTGAGAATAACAAGTCTGCCTGACTCAGCTACAAGATTCAGATGATTTAACAGCTCAAGCGAAGATGACGCGTCCAGACCTGAATTCAAAATCAGAAGCAAATTAACGAATTGCCTTCTTGAGGTCAAGATAAATTTTTGTGTTTTTCTACCTCAGTGAACTACTATTTTCAGGAAAATGTACTAACCATGACTTGGTATCTCGGGGATGGGAGGAACTCCCTTATATAAGTTCTTTAGGTATGCGCGGCCGTAAAGGCATGGTTTTTGTAGCCGCTTTGGTCTTAAATAGGAGATAGATTTAAACGTTAATTTTTGGTCTGTTTTGTAGTCTGGCTAGGAATTGTGCATATTCCTCTACGAAACTAATAACATTGGAGCCCCGACCACCCTCCGCCAAAAATGTTGTATAGTGCCCCTTCCTCTCGGACTTGGCATCTCCTGACAGTTTCTTTGTAATTGACAATTCTGAGTTTTGTCGATGATGTGAGAACATAAATAGACAAAAACACAAACCTGAAGTTGGCTCATCGAGAAATAGCACAGATGGCATGTTAATCAGTTGAAGAGCAACACACAGTCGACGTTTCTGCAACATAAATCATTTGAGTAAGAAAATAGGAGACAATAAGCCTCATCTACAAGTAGAAGAACTTCATGGCAAAAGCAGTATTTAATTTTTGAATCGACTTTTAGTTTGAACGTTTTCACACAGACATGGCTACTACAAGTGTCATACTGCTCACAAATATCTGCGCTTCACTGAAGCCTGAAGAACGGTACTTTAACAGAACAATTTCCGACTCTAGTTTTTATTTGGAAAATAATGGTTAAACTTTGGGTTGGTAGGGTAGTTTACATGTATGACATACAGTCTTTCGAGCGAGTGATATCAATCTGCTAGCGCTGAACAACTCACTTGTCCTCCACTCAAACCCAGGCCCGTTGATCCACCAACCACAGTGTCGGCCATTTGCGTAAGTCCAGTCTGGTACCGAGAAAGACAAGATCCGTTATCACCAATTGCTCATTTCCAAGTTACCTCAAGCCTCTCTGTCAAAGCGAGGCCTGGTGAACAACCATTCACATGAAAATGAGTTTAATTTGCATGTGAATGAAATCTCATTTTCATATGATAGGATGGGCACCAAGACTCGCTTTGAAAAAGAGGCTACAGGTAATTCCGAAATGGTCTATTAAGGTAACGTCATTGGTGCACGATTTTTGTTNCCTGAACTAAGGACATTGTGTAGCCTAGGTTTGAAGATTTTATAACTTTTCTTGTGAACGCTGTTAAGGTTTTCGTTCGCTGAGAACTATGGGTAAATGTACCAGTCGCCATCCTTTTTCCTACGGGGGATTAAGCTTGCTTGCACTTGTTTTTTGTTACATCACTGTCTTTGCTTACGTTATATACTGTAATGTAAAAGTCAGCCATCTCCGAGCAGAAGATACGGCTTTTGTGAGATCGACCTTTCTAATAGATGTAGTTAATAGATTTTGTCTGCTTGTTTAACTGCCCTTGGGAAAAACCTTGGGAAGTTTGGACACTCAGGAAGCCTCTCTCGTGCTTTCCAAACTTAACGCTTGCATCCATAAGATAACTTGATATACGCACACTAAGCACGAACCAATTCTTGAACAATAGGAATCACGCACACATGTAAAGCTGGAGCACGCACTTGCTCGTACCGTAGTATGTTTTATGACTTTTATCTTTATAGGATTTGTGGGACTTACCATGAAGTATGTCATGACAGAACACACTATAACAGGAATCACGCACAATGAAGCAGTGCGGACGAAAGTTTGAATCACATTCTCAAGTGGCCGGCCACACCTATCTGCACGCTCAAGGTTGAGTATCTGCGAGAACAAAGACAACTTACAAGATTAAACGGCAACAAAATTAGGAAGCATGAAGGTGGCTGAGAAAACATTGACTTTTAAACTTTGACGAAGCTCCATGGATTTTCCCAAGCGCTCTATCAAAGACTGTGTAGTAGGCGTGGTAAGAGAGGGACGGGGAGGAACGAGGAGGAACGGGCAGGGGAGGGGCGAAACGAAGGCTTTTCTCTCCATTCAGTTTTTCTTTACCCTCATGTTTCGAACGTGCGTTTTGGTACTGTACTCCAAGGCAGACAGTTCCCTTACATGCTCTCAATGGCCGTTTTCACACTAGAGACGGATAATCCGTCTATTTATATCCGTCCGATCATCCGTCTATATAGACGGATAATCGGACGGATAAAAATAGACGGATTATCCGTCTAAAATGAGCACCGTTCCGTTTTCACACTAAGACAAATTATCCGTAATGGACGGATAACCCGTCGTAGACGGATTATCCATCTCTAGTGTGAAAACGGCCATTACTGAATATATAAGTGACCACTAGCTGATGTTGTTTTCGGAAGCCCCTAGTTCAACTCTGCCTCCACGCTTGTAAATATTCGACCGGTCTACATCCTGCCAGTTAGGATTTTTAAACATGCTATGTCGATTTGCGTTATATTTGTTTCATCGAGTGGCTTGATTAAAATACCTTCTCATTCTTACTCATTTACTCTTTAACTAAACCATGCATAACGCAAAATTAAGATTTCAAACTTCGCCAGCTACTCACATTCAGAGCTTTGTTTAGGTGCGCCATTAAAATTGCGCTCAGAAACAGAGGACTGGAAACAGTATTAATACAATATGCTGACATCAGCAAAAGTCCACCTTTCCCCTCTGCTTGCCAGTAAACAGTTCCTGTAAAATAATTTATAAGGCAAAAAGTTTAGGGAAGTGGTATAGCATACAACCAGTGTGTAAAAGGACAGTTCACGCCGGATCGAACTTCGAGCTATTTCACTCATCATCGCTTATCAAATCACACATACAAAAGGGATGCTGGTTTCACGTCGGTTCTACAAGCTCTGTTTGTTATACACGATCTAAGTTATCTTTATTATCACATGACTGAGAAAATTACTTCATTGTGATTGGCTGAGAACAGGCCAATTTATCGTTAACTCCTAATTTGTACTGCAGTGTAAATTAACGCGCGCGCACGTTCGCAATGTTTTCAGACATCTATAAATAAACGAGTAATCGTATGAAGGCTCCAGCAATTAAGCATTTACACTACTCGTGATATTTGAAAATCGTCTTAAGGCTCGTGCAATTTTGAGAGAAGTTTTAAATACTCGCATTCATACGTAAAATATATTTCAGTGGGCCACGACGAATTGATAATGTTTTAACTTAAAAGAAATACATATTAATTATTATTCTAAATTTTATTACCCACTAATAATCCAAATGTAAAGAATATCAGAGGAAAGTAAGTGATCTGTCCAAGTGTTTGTCGCTTGGAAGTTCTTCCTTCCAGCACAAAGAGTCTGTTGAATGGCCCCGCATCATTCGCACTAAAAAAACAAAAATGAAGTTCCGTCATTTTAGGAACTGAACATAATAAATACACGCACTACGCACTGATTAGGACCACGCATCAGCCAACTGAAAACTCACTTCTACTCAAAGTATAAAACTTATAAAGAAAAATGACTGAGTGGCTGACCAGCTGATTGGTTGGTTAGAATCTAGCAGAAGATCCTAAGGAGGGGGGTACTCCCTTATATGGGATATAAAGGTATGTGTGACCCTAAAGGGTATAGTTTTAAAGCCGTTTTGGTCAAAAGTAGGGTATGATCTTTGCACTCTAGTCTTGAATTGGGTTTGTTTTTTATAAGAAGCTATCCTACCTAATAGAAGCATATAAACATTGCCTTTAACATTGGTCTGAACTGGGGAACTAATTATAAGGCAGGTCTGAAACATGGTATTGATTCAGGTTTTAAATAGGGTATCGAAATTTTTGTCAGGTCATAAATAGGGTAGGGAAAATCGGAGCCGAACACCCCCTCCTAATTTTCTGGGAGTACCCCCGCCCGGGCAGAAGATACACTTCGGAGCACGTGGAGTACACGTGGGACGCAAACTGTAAAATTTAAGGCACCGGGCAATATAGAAGAAATATGACAAAAAGACGATTTAATGCTCAGAACTATAGTGCGTATACAATTACGCAGCTTCTTCAATGATTACGTAAAAACACGGCAGTTTATCCCAGAAAACTCAGGCTGAAAGATTGAAGTAAGGAAAGTATAAATTTTGAAATGAAGAGAGCAGGTTATTGAGATTAAATGCGACAAGTTATGATTAATAAAGATTTATAGTTCAATGCTCGTGACAAAATGAATATATTTACTTCAGACTCATTTCAGTCATGTTATTGGCATCGAGCAGATCTTGCTTAGCGTTTATTTTATGTATGTACCCCGTTGGGGACTCCGATATGAAAAAGTCGGAGACGCTCGTCGTCTCGATTAGGGATATAAATCAAGGATTCTGGTCTCACTTAGGATGTTCATTTCGACACGCTACTATTTAGGGTGCACTCGAAGAAATGATAATTAAAAAAGCGCTCATTTTTTCCGTTTTTTCGCTCGATTTCCCGCGTTCTCCCAAGTCTGGTTTACTAGCGCGGGCTCCTTTCTTGAACAGCGGCTGGTAATTGAGCTTATTCCGTTTTAAGTGGTATCTTTTAGAGGTCAAATAAAGCTTGAGCTACGCCCAGACTGATCTCCTTCGGGGGTTTAATTTGAAGTTTCCGACGAGCATCAGCTAACTTTTCATATGACAGCCTCCCCACGGAGGTATTTACGAACCCTGTCTTCTCGCGTTTCATTCTCTCCAAAGTGAATTGACGCATGGCCTGTCTTGCTGACACCTTGATGGCTTCCTGGACTGCTTGTGGTTCACCACTCGCTTGATAATAATCCAGAATAGCCTGGCGAGCTTGCCTGTTGCTAAGTAAATCCATGATGGTGTCTGCAGTACGTAAAAGAACAGGTGTTGTGTGCTTAAGAACTCACTGAGAGGGTGGGATTAAGTGTTACAAGAAAAATAATTAGTCTGCGTAAATATGATTTTTTTAAGCTTTTAATGATTAACACCACGACGGCAATTTTCGGCTGAACGATAAACGTTTCCCACAACTAATGCTGAATAGCCAATGTTTTAATTAATAGTTCGTCTTGTGTGATCGTCCGTGTGAGGGAAGTTCTGAATCGAATTGTTGTTATGATTCTTCAGATTCAAGAGAATGACCATTGACTGACAAACACTACTCACTTGACTCTGAAGATGACTTCCGCTCAGGTTGTTGAAACGTCAGTCACCAACAACAGTTCTTTTCAGAACTACCCTCAACCGGACGATCACACTATACGAACTACTGATACTCCTGGGTCCAAACCATTTACTGAGCCAATATCTGGAAAGAAACCAAATAGCTTACCAGCAGGATTTGTAGTGTCAATGTTTGGTGCATCCTCTCTGCGCCTATATTCTTCAGTTGTTGACTGGAAATAAGCTTTAAGAAAAATAGAAGGAGCCACGGCCGGATCGCCATAATACGCAACCTGTTGTGACGTGAAAAGAGTATTAGTGGCAAAGTATTGAATTCATGTTACTGTTATAATCATGCTCCGTCCACTACGCCGAAGGAATTTGAAAACGCGTCAAATGTTTTTCGTCCACACTACGCCGAAGGAGTTTCAAAACGGAGTTTTCACTTTAAAAACGCGTCAAATGTTTTCCGTCCACACTACGTCGAATGAATTTAAAAACGCAACAATCACCGGTCATTTTGGATTTGTTTTTGAGGAAAACTCGGTCAGGGAAATCACACGATTATCGTGATGCCATTGTTTTCGAAAAGCTCTTTTTTCAAAATATTTTCCGCCCACACTAAAATGGAAAGCCGGCGTTTTCAAATTCCTCCGGTTTGCAGAGCGTTTTCGAAAAGCTCCGTTTTCGTGCCGGATTAGTGTGGACGGTAGACCTAACCGTAGAAATAAAGCTGCGTTATCAAATTCCTCCGGCGTATTGTGGACGCTATCTCTCAGAATGTATTAAAAGAACCATGCAAAATCGAGATTTTGTAGGAATGCAACGCGCGGCGACCAGAATGCATTGCCCAGCAACCAGAATGCATTGCGCTCTGATGGTGCCTCGCTTTGAGGAAATAGACAAAACACAAAGGGCAAACTGTCATTGGCCTTCTTTTCGGTGATCTTCGAAATTCAGGACGTGCAGGACCATTGGGTGAGTGAAAATCTTTTCTTTGTGCATGATGACAACTTGTGCCGTGAATGTTAAGACAGCAAATTGATTGATGAACTCAGTCAAGTTACACTGTAAGCCGAAAGTGCGTTTTCCTGTAGTCTTGTCATTTTATGTATTCTTGTGCAGCAGCTGCCATGTGCTTCTCGCACCTCAGACAAGTTAAATCGTAAATATTTTGTGCGTCATGACAGGAAATAGATTGATAAATTCGAATTAACCGTTAACAAGCTAGCCTACAAGTGCTTTCTCTGATTCTTTTTGTTGTTTCCTTCTGGTGCAGTGGGCTGCCATGTGCTTCTTGCTGCATAATATTCTCCCACTTCGGTGGCTGTGCGGCTTTGACAAGTTTTAACGTATTCGCACTAAAATTCTACAAGCCATTTTGAAAATTTAAATCGTACGGGCTTTCAAACATTTGCACTTAAATCCTACACGCATTCTGAGAACTTGAATCGTAAATATGTTAGATCTTGCATCGTAATGAAATTTAACCCCATTCATGTGTGCAGCAGCTGAGGTGAGAAAAGTTATCCAGCAAAAAGCACATGGCGGCGGCGGCGGCTTTGACAGGCTTTCACGTATTCGCACTAAAACTCTACAATTATTTTGAGAATTTTAGTCGTACAGGTTTAGAAAACAAGTTCCTGCCCTTAAATCGCATGCAATACAAAGTTCACAGACACGCAAAATAGACCAAAATAACCGCAGCAATTTCATATCCGTGGGCTACACTAGTACTAACTGTTATTGCTGGTTTTCATCAAAAATAAAAATTGTAACCATCAAATAAATTAAGTCATTACTCTGGGATATGATAGATGATTAATATAAAAACGACCTCGACAAGGGTTATATCTGTGCGGTTTTTCATTCGCGCGTTATTCGAAGGAGTGTTTCGCCCAGATTTATAGAGCTTTGTATGGAGACGCCATGTTGGTGCATGTTGGTACAATCATGTGTTTTTCACTGGTTCATTACCTGCCCTTCGTACAAGAGAATGATCTTGTGAAAAAGATGAAAGATTTCCAGTCTCGGCTGATGAATGGTGAGAATAATAAGTCTGCCTGACTCAGCTACAAGATTCAGATGATTTAACAGCTCAAGTGAAGACGACGCGTCCAGACCTGAAAACATTTAATGAACTGTTGCGTTAAAATAGGCGTGGACCTTCAGCAAGATTTTAAGAAGCTTAGTAACATACCAAGTCGTATGATACTTAACAAGTGGATTTCATGCTGCCGTGCGTCTGTGCAGTATTAGTAATCTACTAGTGTTCTATCACGAATGCCGTTCTCTGATTGGCTACACTACTTACTATCTATTCTGTAGTAGATAGTGAGCAGCGTAGCAGCGTGCGCTGGGAGCCGCTTGTTTGCGTTTTCGAAGTGTATGCGAAGAAGATTTAGTCAAAGTTTTGAAATACTAGTAGATTTATAGTAAAAACAATTAGATCATTCGCTCTCGATTTCTATCTATGATAGCTGACTCGGGCTGCGTCCTCGTCAACTATCGCACGATAGAAATCTCGATCTCATAATCTAATTGAAATAGATCACAGGTGACGTCAAAATGCTTTAAGAACAGCCTGAGAAAATTTGGAAAAGGAAAACATAATGTTTTTAAAATTCCACAACAAGTCCTATGTGTATATCATATATCTTTAACTCAAGCTTGAGTTCGGATCCAACACGAACTCCCAATCTCGTTCTTCGAGTCTTCGTTCTTTACTGCGCAAGCTTGACGAAACAAGTGACTCTCGAGAGTTCCGTTAAAGGCTAGGTTTTGATTGTTTTTAAAAACAATGGAAATGAGCGGAAGTAAAACAACGTCTCGATTGAGTCACGTGTTTATCAGTTAGGTGTGTGCAATTCAAACGGAAGTTCGATATTTTCGTACTTCCAAACAGGACTTTCCAGGGTCGCTCGTTTCCCGACTGCTGGTCAAGGGGAACAAAGATTCTGGGCTACACCATAAAACTACTGTCGGGCGTGCGCAGTACAAACAATACCGCAAATGTGATCAATGGCTTAACTCTCGTGAAAAAGTGTTACCTGAAGTTGGTTCATCGAGGAACAGCACAGATGGCAAGTTGATCATCTGAAAAGCAACACATAATCGACGTTTTTGTCCTCCACTAAGTCCTTGACCAACAGATCCACCAACAACTACATCTGCTATGGACGTTAGGCCAGTCTGTCTCAGGTCAAAAGAGATAGTAATAGTCATTGCCAACAGTGAGGTTGCAAAGAGATCAGAGATAACAGAAACAATTCTTTACAAAATAAACACACTGATGATTGAAAGCAGGCGACAAAATGTCATTCAATTGTATTAGGGTGGATTACATTAAAGGAGCTATGCCACGGTTTACGCATCTTGACAAGTTTAGCCTAAATTTTTCAAGTTCGTTCTTTGCCGAATCCGTGTTAATCTTCTCCATCCTCATCCATCCTTGTTCCTCTATGGTTTATTGTTATCTCTTTAGTGTTCTTCTATCTTAGTAAACTACTATTTTCAGGTTTCCTTCAGTTCAAAGGTAATTTTACACGCGGCCAAAATAACTCAAAATGCCGCGACTGAGCACCTTTAAAAGCTCTACTGACCTCCCCAAGAGCAAATTTCTTTTCAATATTTTTTTAGCAGGTAGGGCGATGACTTCTTACTGAACTGGACTAAGCATAGGAAGAGAAAGGGACGTAATAAAACTTTTATGGCAAAGAAAGCTACCTTTTGCTAGATACCTACAGCACAACACTAAACCGCTTCATTCCCAGCTATGAATTGAAGTACTAATTGCCCCTCAGAATAGGCAGATATGTTTATACTACACTTCTGTTAATTTTGTCATACATCATAACGGACATCTTTTTATTCTCAATACAGTCGACCTCTCCACCAACTTTGCTTTTTATCCACTGATGAAGAGGCAGCAGCCTCGAAACGTATAGACGTTTACGTAGTTTTCCCGCAATAATGAATATTAATTTTACTAAATTTCTTTATCTCTTCACTAACTGCCACCTCTCTACAATGGTCGCTTTTTGGTCACGGCGGACGGTCCATACATTCACTCTTATTTTAACCTCGCTACAACGGCCACCTCGCCACAACGGCCACTAAAGCGCGTCCCAACGGCCAAAATAAGCTCTCGATAACGACCAGTTAATCAACGACTGACAATTTTTTTTAACATAACAGGTTACGAAACTTGATCTATACTACTCGTCGCTGGTCTCTGTTTCTGTATGTTTCTATTTTACTGATATCTTTTGATTGTGTTACGTATTTATGTGCTACATTGTGTATTTTTCAAAGATAAGAATGTTGCGTCCCTGACAAAAACAAGTGTCATATTATACCCATACCAACCCTAGTGACCGCCTCTCTACAACGTGGAGAGGTTCGATCGTACTTTAAACTCCGCGTAATTAAAGAGTTTGAATACCTCAGCCAGTATTTGTTCAACTCGTTCAAACTTCCTTATGTGACTCATTGATTTCGGCAGTCTCATGTGCGCAGCAAAGAAGAGGTTCTGTCGGACAGTAAGTTCTTCATAGTAAGGCACAGCGAGCTGTAACACATAACCAATCTTATGCGCGTACCAGTCTTGTACAATGGCATCAGTCATGGCAATTCCATTGATGTAGACTTGGCCCTGTGATTGTATAAAAGGTAAATTTTGAAAGTGATAAGCAACTGTACCCTTCGGTGACTTATCAGGCGAGTTTCGTCAAGCCATGGTTCGTATTTTGGCGTGACGTAGTCCAGCCAAAATACCCATGGCGAGACCAAACGAGTCGAGTGTATACCGTACCCAAATATGGTCAATTGACCAGATATCGCCACGGTAACCATATCAGGTCAGCGACTTGATATCGCAGGATATCAGGACAGTAGACACGATTTCTGATTGGCTAACTGCAAATTTGGGTATGGTAAACTAACAGATCATTACCCTCTGAAACGTTTGTATTTTTATCCAGACTATAGTAAGAATACTCGCCTTGTTGTCGTAACAGAATCAACATGAGGGTTTTTTAAGAGCTTTTTTCCTTATGATAAACAAGTGGGCAAGCTGTTCGGATAATCATGGTACCTTTCTTTCTTTCTTTTTCTTTCTTTCTTTCTTTCTTTCTTTTCTTTTTATTAAGCTGTGCAAATATTTCACAGTGGCACCGTGGCCAAAAACAAAAACGTATAAGCTCACACTTTTACAATCACAAAATGTCATAGCTATCCTCAACTTTTACTGATGTTATACATTCATAAATACATACATAAACTTTATTTAAGTGTCAATAAGTATTTAGCTCTAAGCTAAGATCTAATTGTATGATAATCTCCCAGGGTGAATCCAATGTGAATAGTTGGAAGAAAATCACGATTTTTTGTCTCAATTAGGGTGTTTGGAACGAAACGCCACAACCTATAGGCGTCAAGGTATCTTTAGGGTTGCGCTCGAAGAAATTGTAAGGAAATCACTGGCATGTGTGTTACAGTAGTATCTTTTAGGGTGAAATAAAACTCAAGCCAGGCTCAGATTGGTTTCGTTTAAGACCCTTTAGGGGTTTAATTCAAATTTGTCGAAGGGCATCACCGACCTTTCCACATGGGAATCCTTCCACAGGGGTATGGTATATTATCAGTGACACACACCTTGCGGTATCCTTGTTTTCGCCTGCCTGTTAATAAATCAAGTAGTGTTGTCTTTCCACAACCTGAGGGTCCCATGATGGCCACCAGTTCACCAGTATTGAAATACACTGACACGTTCTTTAGAATTTGCTTGCTCTTTGGTTTTTTATGTTTTATATGATGATCAGTACGCAGGGATTCTTTTGGCTGGTTGGAATATTTTGCCTTTCCTGCCTCTCTGTCTTCGTTGATATCAACAAAATGCACCTTTCCGTATTTCCGTGATGGTACGGGAGTCTTCTCGGGGGAGGGATGAAAGACCGAGTCATCCCACGAAGGAGATTTGGATAGTGTGCGTTTCTCTTGGTCCGAGGTTTCCGAGTCAGAGCTGTCACTCTCTTCAGTAATAACATCCTCCATAACCGATGGATTAGTCCTGTGGCCACGGCTGGGAGCGACTACTTCTCGATCTGTTGTGCCAGTCACTTTATCCTTAAAAGCCGGGTCTCCTGTGTACAATTAGATGGCAATTTTCTTAAAATGTTTGTGCACGAGTGAAGAAAGGAAGGAAGGAAGGAAGGAAGGAAGAAACAAAGAAACAAAGAAGGACTGACTAACTGACACTAACTGAGTAAGTGACTGCCTGCCTGCCTACTCTCTGACTGTCTGACTGACTGTCTGTCTGTCTGTCTGACTGACTGACTGACTAGTACTGACTGTCTGCCAACCTGCCCACTTGCCTTCCTGCCTACCTGCCTACCTGCCCACCTGCCTACCAGGGCGACTGATTGAGCGACTAATTGGCTGACTGGTACGCTGGAAACGATTCTGTCTGCCCGTCTGTTTGTGTCGGTCTGTCTATCGGTCTGGCGAACTGCAGTCTGTCAGTCCGTCGGTTTGTCTGTCTGTTGGTTGGTTGGTCTGTCTGTCTGTCTGTCTGTCTGCCTGTAATAATCGAGGCAGTTTTTCCCTCTCCTACATTTATTCTTACCAAGTTATAGAATGTAGACAACCTTTAGTTGCGCTTTACTTTCTCAGTAGCTTAATGATGAGCACGCAATTCATAAGACCTCTCAAACGGCATTTTATAATGTTTGGATTTAGTATCATGTACACAGTTTCAGTCTCGCCCTCCTTTTCTTCGCAGTAGCTTAATCAGACCAGTAGACAATTCTCAAGGACCTCAAGAATCCCTTTAGACTACTATTAAATAATGCACTGATACTGCACCTTTATCTTCTTTCGTCTTCTTCTTGCTAGCATCGACTGAGTAGCTTAGTGACGAGCAGGCAATACTGATCATATCATTTGGGGGGCACGGTGGCAGCTGGAGTGAAGAAAAAAGAAAACAACAATGATATTGATTTCTTGTGTACTGTGAAGGTTCACAAAAGGCTATATACATGTAGTATTGCTGCAAAGACTGGTTGAGCCTCAGCAACATACGCACGCAGTAACACGTGGTGGGGGGGGGGGAAGCTCTTATCGTGAGGGGGACAGGTTTGTCACTTAGAAGTAGTAAGTGAAGTCTACAGCCGTAGCTGCAGTTGTGTGACGATTGGGGTAGTCATGCGTGACAGGGGCATGTAAAAAAGTATAAGAAATAAATAGATAAATGAATGATATACAAATAATCCATCAGTGAATATTAACAGACAAACAATTTTTTTTACCTCACTTTCTGTAAAGGAAGTATCAGGGTCATTCAAATACTGTTTTTGTTTCCTGGCCAAGTAATACTGATATAGCATGAATATGGACTTTAACCCAACGCACGTGACAGTAACAACCAATGACAATACAATTATGATAGTTTGAACAGTCTCGCCCCAGATCACCGCAGGATCTGTAAACAATAATTGACGGGGACAAGTAGGGTTGCACTGGGCTGAAATACAACTGTCTGTCAGTCTCACAGCAGAGTTGGATGATTTTTTCCACGTGGCCATAAAATCCCGGATGCTGGTACTATTAACTCCCGTTACGATTTGTGTTGATTCCCAGGTCCCACTCTTCACTTTATTCCTGTTGGAGACAGAGCTTTGTCACTGGCTGTAAACAATCCCCCGTTGGAAAAAAGATGGCGACTGGTACACTCAGCACTAACCCATAATTCTTAACGTACGAAGACTTTAACAACGCTCATAAAAACGTAAAAGAGACCTCTAAAACCTTGAAACCTAGCATATACAACATCGTTAGCACAGGTACAAATATTGCAAAAATATGGCTTTCTCTGTAGGCCTTGTACTGTATGGGTCGCGTGAGGTTTGCATGGTATTGTGGTAGAATATACGGCCGCCATCTTTGTTTTTTTTCCCCAAGAGGGATTATATCTGTAAGCAACAGCTGGAATTTTCTATGAACTGACGCACAGTTCAGTCACTGAGAATATCGTTCATAAGACTCGGGTTCGTAGTGTAACTCTTTTTTATATTAAACTTATAAGATTATCTGTTAAAAACCTATACAACTTTCGATATTGTTCAGCGAGAGTCGTACAGGGCACGGTTCACGAATGGGAAAAATAGCGAATCACGATCACTGATATGAAAATTTCATTTTCGCAAATCGCGAAAATAAGTGAGTAAGATACTCTTTTTAAACAACCTGCTCTTAAGCTAGAAAGAGTGTTTGAAGAAAGCAAAATCGTGAAAGGCTAAGTAACACGGCACGAAAAATTGGATTTACTCTAAATTTGATCCTGATCAAAGTCGAAGTCAAATATGATCATAGCTTTGATCCAAACTTTGACGCGCGTCAAATGTGTGTCAAAAATGTCATTGCTTTGCCGATACATTTGATCTATGACAAAGAAGAGGGCAAATGTGATGTTAACTTTGACTCCACCTTTG